ATATAAACTGATTCACCAACCAGAGAGCCAGGGAGTGATCAGCAAGGCTCACTCAGCCTTCAACAGTCCTATATGGCCAATGCGGAAGCCTGATGGGGAATGAAGATTAGCTGTGGACTATATTGTGACCTGAATGGAGTCACAGCACCTGTGCGTGCTGCTGTGCCAGACGTGCTGGAACTTCAACGTGAGCTGGAGTGCAAGGCAGCTATATGTTACAGCACGATTGGCACTGCTAAAGGATTTTTCTCCATTCCCTCAGCAGCAGAGTGCAGGCCCCAGTTTGCTTTCACCTGGAGGGGCATCCAGTACACCTGGAATTGTCTGCCACAGGGGTGGAAGCACAGTCTGGCTCTCTGCCATGGACTGATCCAGACTGCACTGGAGAATGGTGCAGCTCTGGACCATCTGCAGTACATGGACAACATGACTGCATGGGGCAGCACAGCAGAGGAAGTTCTTGAGAGAGTTGACAAAGTAATTGACGTCCAGCTGGGAGCCGAGTTTGCCATAAAGAGAAGCAAAGTAGAGGGACCAGCTTGGAGCACAAAAAAGCCGTTTATATGTGTACAAGTAATTCTCAAAAAACCAACAAAACGGATTTTACTTGCATGTGTGCACATTGTGCTGCTCTTTAAAACTTCAGGGATTGGACTGGATGATCTTTTGAGGTCCCTTCCAATCCCTAACGTTCTGTGATTCTGTGAAAGCAAAAAAATCTTTGAAAAAAACCAATTTCTACTGCGTATCTGACATAAGACTTGAGAAAGACACTGTATCTGTTACATACACCTCATTCGGTCCTGATTCATCTTTCAGATCACTGATGCCTACGCAGGCATCCACCAGTTGCTGGCCTTTTTGTGTTGGATTCCTCCTTTGCTGAGTCTCCATACTTCCACTGTGGTAAGAGATCTATTATAAAATGTATAGGCCTGGAGCTATCCCTGAAATGCAAGATTACAGCTAGTCTGTAACTTTCTTCTTTAGTTACACAGCAGAGGAAATTTTTTGAGAAATGTAAGAAAGTAATCAATGTTCTGTTGGGAGTCAGGTTTGCCATATAGAGAAGCAAAGTAAAGGGACCAGCTTGAAGCATGAAAAAGCTGTCTAAATACATACAAGTAATTTTCAAAAAAACCCAGCAAAACCAGTTTTATTGGCATGTTTGCACAATGTGTTGCTATCTAAAGCTTCAGAGCACTGCAATCTTGACAAAGAGGTAGCTTTTGTCTTTCCACAAAGACAAACTGTTTCCCAGCATCACCAGAGCTGGGACAGAGGGTAGGGAAGAAGAATGCCACTGGAAGATGCAGAAGAGAAGCAGTCTGCTGTGAACAGGGATTCACAGAAAACACAGGTGCTTAATGAGTGTTATTAGCAACAAGGTAATTCTGCATAACACACACAGAGCAGCTGTTGACATCCCTCATTGATCCCCAGATCAAGAGAAGTGATTCTGCCCCTCTGCTCTGCTCTGGTTACACCTCACCTGTGTCCAGCTGTGGAGTCTCCAACAAAAAGGACATTGAAGTGCTGGAGTGTGTGCAGAGGAGGGCCACAAAGATGATCACAGGGCTGGAGCACCTCTCCTGCAAGGACCAGCTGAGAGAGTTGGGGCTGTTCAGCCTGGAGAAGAGAAGGCTCCGGGGAGACCTTATGGCAACCTTCCAATACCTGAAAGGTGCCTTTAAGAAAGCTGGGGAAGAGCTGCTCACTAGGGCATGTAGCAGTTGGATGAGGGGTAATGGTTTTAAACTAGAAAAGGGTAGATTAGGTTGGATATTAGGAAAAAGTTCTTCGATATGAGGGCGGTAGATCACTGGAAGAGGTTGCCCAGAGAGGTGGTGGAGGCCCCATCTCTGGAGAAATTCGTCAGACTTGACTGGGCTCTGAGCAGCCTAATCTGGTAACACTGTCCCTGTTTACTGCAGGGGTTGGACTGGAGGAGCTTTAAAGGTCCCTTCCAACCCAATACATTCCATGATTCTACACAGCAATTGCTTTAATACCACTTCAATAAGGAGTACACTTCTAATGCAGTGCAACTGCATATGGAAGCCATCCTGATCAAGTTGCTCTGTGCATTGCTTATACAGACATAAATGGGCCAGCCTGAATAGAAACTTTTTTCCTCTTCCTCTCTTTGAAGTAGAGAAGCTTCTTAAGAAATGACTGAGAAAGGCAGATAAGAGGGGCAGGAAAAGAACTCCAGGGCAAGAGCATCTACTAAGTTTGTTTGGAGAAGAAATTAAACCAGCTTTAGAGTGACTTACAAACCACTGCACACCTGCTCCCCTCCTCAGCGTTCCTTCTCACCCTCTCTCCAGCACGGTGTCTCACACATGACATGTGATTGTGCATTTTTTCCCAGAAAAAAAAATCAATAAATCACTTGTGATTAAAAGAGCAAGTGCTTCCGAGTGATCAAATCAACAGTTTTATTTGCACCTGTTAAAAGATCTGTTTGCCTACCAGCAGAGTCCAACATAGATGGGACAGACAGACATGAATACAATTAAATACAGGAAAAATTGAACTATATACAAGACGTACATTTACATAATGAAAAAGTCTTTATATTATCTATTACATCTTGCAAAGTTGAAACATCACTGGAACTCAGATACACTGGGGTTTCTTTCTTTTTCTTTTTTCCTTAAAAAAAAAAGAAGTGTAACAATTTAGTATTTTTCCATGTAGTGAGACTTAAAATTCATTTTGAGATGAACAAAATTTGTGGTACTTCACAGGGTACAGAAAAGCTAAAAACATTCTTGTTAAATAGTTTATAGTTTGTGGTGTCTAAATTTCAATTGGCTCTATTTATTAGGAAACAAACTATAAAGTGATATTTACACAGAGGGAGTTGTGCAAAGTCACTTCAGGCCCTGGCTAGTACAGCACGAAAGATGCACAGATATGGGACTCACCTATATTCCCCACAGTAATCCCTTAAATCATCTTATCATCCTTCTTGTGCAGTAGCCACCCAAGGAAAAACAGCTACCATTTCTTCTTTCCCTCCCCTTTTAAGTTACTGGGAGAAAGCTGCTTCTGTGGCCCTTAAATATCCTGACAGTTGTAATGGTGGACTGCTTCTTTTCATGCTTTTAAGCAATCTTTAGTACTACTGTTTCATCACTTCCACATTTTTTGGGACCTAAGTGCCACCTGTTGTTGTCACCACAGTATCCCAAGATTGCTGGAGTCCTTGCTTGTAGTTTGTATTACCAAATACAATTACAGCAACTAAAGGTGTGTAACTTTTTAGTGGGTACCATATTGCCACACTGCAGAAACTGCATATTCCTGGTAACAGGGCTGAACCAAAGCTATCCCAAACCAGGGTGCTGGAGGTATTGCATTTCTTAAGCTAGCCTTTATGGAACAAAACTCTGTGTTAATACATCCAGAAACATCCTGAAACATCCTAACAAAGAAGCCTTTACTTTTGGGTTGCAATCTTCACTAAAGAACTTGAGACAGCTAATGAGAAGAGCTGCTTTAATTAAAGGCTTCCTACAGATCCCTAGGAGAGGTGAGCCTAAGACACATCAGGTATCAGTATTAACGCATCCTACAATTGTGCTGCACCAGCACACAGAATGGGGCTTCTGATGGTTTTCATCATCAACCAACTGCCAAAAGGCATCTCAAGTTTGATTTTGGACTTTTCTCGCCCTAGACTGCAGCCTTCATAGATGCAGCTACTGCATATGTGGATCATAAAACATTGATTTCAATTATCTACATTTCATTACTATAATCCTGTTTGTATCAGCTCATCTGGGATTCCACATCAGCTTGCAGATTTTAGCTGCAACAGCTTTAAAGCAGACATGTATAACTCAGTCCTGGAAAAAAACCCCAAACAAATCCAAGTGACTAGGTCACAGTGCATAAACTTGTGTATTCCTGCCTTGTTCCAATGGAGCAGTGCTCTCTCCTAGGACACCTATCTGACTTTTCTTTCTTTAAAAAAGAATATTGAAAGAAAGCTGCACAATGCTCAGGGCAAAGGGAGATTAAACTTCTGCCAAAAAGCTGCCAAGTCAAGATTGCTACCAAACCTTTTTTAAAGCCTCCACTTCCTAAATCCACAGCAATACAACTATTTAATTTTTAATCCTCTGCACCAGGCTAAATCCAGTCAGGTGTTGGTACACAGACTGAAGAAAACAGCAAAGTGAACGTACTGAACCTGAAGAATTACACTGGGGATGCTTGATATAGTAAGATGTGTAGGTGGCTTGGTGCTCAGCTGTTGAGGAAAACATACAGTTTTATTCTTATCCATCACTAAGAAGTCTAAAGATGGTGTTCTTAGTTATCAGAAGAACGTGCTACTGAACAGAGGTACACCCAAGAGACCATCTCATTCCATGAGAAAATAAATTCAGTATTGTGATTCAAATACAGGAATTCTTGACAGATATAACACTCAAATAAGTATTTTCACATTGTACATGTTGCAATTTGTCTACATACTTTAGATCTCATGGAGTTCATGAAGCCACCTACTTGTTCAATCCAGCTGCTTAAAACACGTGGTTGGTGGTTAACAACAGATTATTTTATTGCATGACAATGGCTGTCAATTTTACATTAATTTATGGTAAAACCATCCATTGCTACAGACCTTGCTCTACTTGGGCAAGGATGGTATGGCAGAAAGCAAAATGAACATGAGCTCCTCATAGGATAAACAAAAACTGTAATGACATGGTAAATTACTGATCTGTGTTTTGAAAGGTAACTATTCCATAACTGTATGCAATGGTGGGAATAATTTAAAGAGTAAGAAATAACAAAATACTCAGACCCCTCTTATTTAAGCATTAAAAAAGTAGAAGGAAATGGATGAGCTGCTTCCATTCTGACATAGGCTGCTGGTCTGGTTTAGAGACAGTCATAAATTTAACATTATAACCAAGGACATAACAAGAACCAGCTTGGACCATAAAAAAGCTGTCTATATATGTACAAGTTATTCTCCAAAAAAATCGGTTTTAATCACATGTGTGCACAACTTGCTGATCCTCAAACGTTCAGAGCACTGAAAGCATGGCATTTCCCCCAAAATCCATTTGAGTCTGTCCTGAGAAATACAAGTACTCATATATAAATGGGATGATACTGTCTGTGAGTGAGTTTCTTCCGGCAGGTTGGGCAAGAGGTGGCATTCCTAAGGGAATCACGGAGGCACTGACTGCAGAAGACGTGGCCGCATTTGGTTGACACAATCAGTCGTCCACTTTGCACAATCTGGAAGAAAAGAAACCACCACATGGATCTGGAGTAAAGAATTCAGCTTTGCTGCTCTGTTGGCACCAGGCAAATAGGGCCTGGAGTATCCGCAGTCAGTACATGACTAATACATTGGAACCCAAAGATCTTTCAGTGCCAGCTCAGGAACTGTTTCTCCCTCTGTATACACCATAAGAAATTACTTGGGAGTTATAAGGTAGTTTGACCTTCAAACTAAGGTCTGCACTTCAAGCCAGCTGCCTCTAGTGCCCCACATAACCCAACAGGGTTGCGCAGCTCACCCTCTGACCCCATTCCCCTCTGACAGAAAACGAACGATGACAACATGTGGATCCTTACCTCTGAGTAGCCATCCATGCAAATGGGACAGCTGACAGTACCAGACGGCCTTGTGGGAGAGAGAAGAAAAGCAGAAGGAACATGCGTCCATTAATTTCATTGTGCGTTGGGCGTTACCGATACCTAAAGGAAACTGCGTCTTGCTTTTCATTAGAAGGCAGCTGCAGTTAGTCGCTCTGCTCTGTTATTCATACCAAGAACTCCTTCCTTATAAAATGCAGGTCAGAACACACTAACATGAGGAAATATTAAGAAATAAATTTCTATTTCAGAGAAGGAAGACTGACTCGGTGGCTGTTACTAAGCAGTGGTTACAGATGTGCCTCTCCTGCCTTCAGCCTCCAGGACAGCTGCACACTTACAGACCAACATGGCTATTCTGTGTAAGGAACATGTCATACCCTAAGTGCTGAATAACAGTCAACTGAATGTACAGATTAAACTCTTTTAAAGGATCACTGTAAGCTGTTTTCTTAAGTCTTTACTATGAACACTTGGTTTTATTATGTCACAGCCCACACTAAGCAACAGTTTGTGATTTATTAATTAAACAGGAATAGAAAGCATGAGATATACTTTATCGCATAATCTTAAATTCAAGCAGAGAGCACTATTAATGTCTACCCCTAGTTTCATATACATAATTTAACATCACTAATTCTCCCACTTTTACTACTCAAATTCTTTATGCAACAGCTATAATACCAACTCAGTAATTAATTACAATTGATGATAAGTTTCATATAAGCAAGACTAGCCTAACACTACAGAGTAACACTGTAGATGGCTCTGTGGCAGTCTCCAGCATCAATACGTTTTGGTCAACATTAAATGCTGCAGCACTGAGCTGTTACAGTATTACCTAAACAGAGCAGGAAGGCACATTCTGCAACAGAGAAGCTTGAGATTGAAGGAACAAAGCATTAATTTTTCATATTAACTAATGTGTGTGATTTATTCACCTACAGATTTGATGACAATGATGACAATGATGACAATGATAATAATGATAAATCATCTACAAATCCACTGGGAAAATGCAGTGTTTTAGAATACTGTATGTAGGTGGCATATTTAAGACCTGACACCCAAAATTTCTATACCTAAATTCTCTCCTACACTACCTTCCAGTAATCTAAAAGGCCCAAAGCACACTGGCTTTATTAAAACCTGTATTTCCTCCTGTAAACACTTTTAAAAATGTTTCTACCATAATCCCCAGGTTCATCGTCTTCCCTAGTCACATGGACACCTGATTTCATTAGTTAAGTCTAATCCATTGCGTCTTTCTTAACATAATGGAGTGCTCTTACAGCAGGAACTTATTGTTTCTCCACAGAATGGGGTCTTTACGGTGCAGGCACCTGATCCAAATAGTGAGGCTGCCACCTCACATGCAAGTGTATCAGAGCTCCATGACACGTGGGACAGAACAAAAACTGGCCCTAACAGTATTACCTCCCCAATTGCCTTGCAAGTAAACTTTGTAAGAATGGTTACTGCTCTGAGAGGAAAACGGCTGTCAACTGGCAGCGTGTTTAAAAAAGCAGTGAATGAGTAATAGTTTTTACTGGAATTTGCCAGGCTGCTGCCTGCTGGTGTCATGATACCAAGCCTCATCTACACCAGTGAAAAGATTTCTGTATCTAACATTACTACTAAAACTTTGCATGAAAAGTAAATGCAACATATTATGAGCTATGGTGTGTGACTAATCCTCCTTCCTTGTGTTCCCTCCATCCCATTTATAAGGATGTATGCAAAGTTGTACATATGTCTTGGGCTGGCTTTTTATCCTAAAGTGCAAATGGTATTATTTGTCATCATGCAAAATGTGATGTTGTACTCATTGAAAGAGGGAACTAAGTACAGTAAGTTAAGACTTCAAAAATAAGCCAGGCTATAACTTAGTCCTGCATGTATCAGAAAAGCAAAACTTAATGTTTGGTGGGTCATAAGGCATACATACTTTGAACCTGCAGTTTCATCTTCCAGTGGTCCAAATTCTTGAGTTGCTTTATCTGTCACATACACATCATTGTCTCTTGTTTCATCTTCATCATCACTACTCAGTACACAGCTGTCTGACTGTCGCTGGCTTCTTAGCCTAAGATTTCTCCTTTGTCGTTGATTCTCTGTAATTTAATTTTGGTAAGTTAGACAAATATATATCCCTGGAACTATCATTGGAATGCATGATTATAAATAGTCTGCAGCAATTCATATTTTAAATGGACCATATTCAGCTGGGTTAAAAGCAATCTTAAATAAACTAGTTTCCTAAATATTATGCTGAACATTTCCAGCCATTGTGAATATTTACTACATATCAACACAAAACATTTGTTCCCTACAAACAGCTCAAATGTGATCTTAAAGATTCTTGGTGTCATAAGTTTCATATAGTTACACTACCTATGAAAAAGTCTCCTCTAAAAAGGGAAGCTACCTCTCCTGATTCTTACTAACAGAGAATGCTGTGATACTATGTTGGGGAATGACAACAATTGCTGTGTGATACGAGAGGGGGAGAGAGGACTGAAGTTAAGTTTCCAAGCAGCAAGGAGAGGTAGCACATACACAACAAAGAGGCCTGGTAAATCAGTGCTCTCTTCAGAAAGCTTCAGAAGTGATGGCAGAGATGCTCAAACTAAAAAAAATTATGGAGCTGCTGCGGTTCCTCACTGCTCCATCCAGGTATGATGCTAAACTCTGCCACTCTTTTTGTCTGTATTAAACTGAAACTACCCACTCAAAGGCACTTACTATAAAATGAGTCTTTTTAAGAACGATACTGGGAAGTTATAAAAATACTTTAAGCAGTGTCTCCTTAGAAATTTTCATCATCTTCCTCCTGAGTTACGGTAACTTGAAAATGGAGCTATATTGCCCAAGATAAAATGAGATAACAATTTTTAATCACCTGGTCTGTAACATCCAAAGGTTAAAGGACTGCTGTTTGCTTTTTAACAAATAGAAACTGCACGCAGTAATTACCTCTGTAACTTCAGTGTACATGTAACAATAATCAAGCACTAATCAATTAAAATTACACAGCCACAAAATCAAAGTTCCTGCATAAGTATTCGGCCAGAACTTTTATTGCAAGTACTTTTTACTTGCTCTTGCTTCAGAGCACTACATAGATTACATTCTAAGTAACCTGCTAAAAACCAAACTAATACATCTCAGACATTATAACGAGAATAAAATCTGAAGGATGTAAAGGATTAACTTCTTCATAGGTATAACTACTGTAACACTTGAAGTTGAAAAACAAATTCAAAGCTTTTTAGTGCTTCTCAGTACTAAATTTGAGGCTTGTTAGACTGGATAAAGAAAGTGAATCCTATGACCACAAATGACTTGGACCTTGAGTTCCCATACTGCATATGGGGTTAAAAAAGCCTTTTGCTATTTCCTTATTCCAAACAGATATTCCAGTGCTAAATATGCTAATTAAAATGATCATCGACATTGGGATTACAGAACTTCTGGAAAATATCTGGAAAACAAGAAAACCTATTTTGAGCAGCTCTGATGTATTTTAGTTCAGGTACTTTCTGCAAGCTCTAAGAGCGACTATCAACCACAGATTGGATCCATTCTCTAAGACACTGGCCAGATATTTTTGCTAAATGCAGCTTCAGTTTGTGCTGCTCCAGTTTGTTGGAACAGAAAAGTTAAGCTTAGACAACTGCTTTATGAATTGTAAAATAATCAACTCACCTTCAACAATCTTGCATCAATGTATAAAAGGGAAGGGAGAGAAAAGGAAATACAATTAGACTTCGGTGTGCACCACTAGCATTAAATACATACACCAGATAAGCTAAACAATTACAATAAAATAAGCTAAGAATGGTAGTAGTCACTCTCTTATTTTGGTTCAGAGGTTTAAAAGCAGTAATAAATTAGATGCTGCTCTGAAAACAAGCAGTTGCTTCTGGTTCATCTCACGCTGCTTGAAAGTGATACAAATGGAGGCAGCTTCTGAACCACCTGAACACCCTGCTCTGCAGTTCCAGTACCCCGATTTGATTTAGTCTGGAGGAGATCCCTGCCCTCTTTCTCCCTCAAAGAGGCAAATGCAGGTGGGATTTCCAGACACTTCATATTAGATTAACAGCTGCTGATGAAAAAACCCAGTGCCCAAATTGTCTTTGGTGGAACTAGAGCTGTGGCAAGGCAGATTGTGTCGTGACATGACAGGCTTTTCCTTTGCAAAGGCTCACGAACAATTCCAGCAGGAGATACCCCCATGCTACTCCTGCTGCTTGTTTCTGGCTTGCACGGCAGCAGTAGCAACCCAAAAATGAGGCTATAAACTACACTGCGGACTGTATCAAAGAATATTCTAGCTTTAAAATAGAAGTTATTTTCTTTTTTAAAGTGGATTTTTTTAAGACTTCTTGGAGTAATAAACTGAAGTAGTTTATACCATGGTCAGCAACAGCTGGCCCTTGGAATCTGACAGGAGTACCTTAAACTGATGTCACAGCTAAACATATTTGTGAAGTCAAACACTTATCTCCTTCACTTTCATTTAAGTCACTGGCTTATACATTTGATATATCTATCAAAATTTCAACTTCAAATTGCACCTATTAACGTTACATTAACCACTACTGATACATATTCTCAGGAACTTGTGGAGCAAAAGGTATTTTACATTACTCTCTCACTAGCTGCAAGTGTACTTCCAGAACAGTTTTTGTGTTGACCTGTAACACATGACTTTGATGCACTGACAAGTCAACTTTGAACTTAACACTTAATCTTAGAGTCAGATTCTATCAGTGTGTGCCATTCACTACTCACCACGACAGAATCATTGTGTGTTAGGTCAACGACTACAGGATCAGAAGACTCACATGTGAGATCTACAACTTCTTCACCAGCTTAAAAACACAATGTTAGAATCAAGATCAGAGATTGCAGAGGAATAAAATTGCTTGACACTATGTAACAGGCTGAAGTATGATTCCACATTGCCCTATTCCTTTTCTTTTCAGTAGTGTGTACAACATTTCATTCAATCTTTGCCCTCAACAGTCCATGTAGAGCATTACCACCGCTGTGTCATGGAAGTTGCACTGCAAGAGAGGCAGCTACTGGGCTACTGATAAAGTTTTGTTGTACAACAGCTTGTGGGAGTTACACAGCAAGAGATTACTCATCTAACATAAGAGTGTTTATCACAGAGAATAAAACATAAGTCATAAAGAAGATACTATTTTTACAGTACCATGCTATGTATGTTCCTGTCTCATGTCTCTTCCAACCTTTCATAGTCAAATGCACAGCAAAAACTGGAAAAGCCATATAATTACATGGAGATGAACAGTTACATTTAATCTCTATTATTTCTGAAAGCAAATTAATATCAACTTAAAAGGCCAAGAAAGCTTTTTCAGTTCTGATACTTCTTGTAAAAATGTATTGACCAAGCATTGCCTCTCCCTTGAGGGACGGTGTATGACTAAAGACAAACTTGTAATTACCTCCTTAAAACTCAGTCAGACACTATCTGTAGTGGCAGCTGCAGGAACTCCCAGCTCATCAGACTGGACGTTCAGGTGTTTGAGCAGCACTTGAGTACTTTTCTTACACAACTCGTCTCTCACTAGTGGTGAATGTGTGGCACCTCAGTAGCAAACTAAAACAGTTGTCAATAGGCTTGTTCTTCATACGTGCCATGCTAGACACTTTCTAAAATCAGAGGTTTCCCTTCCTCCCCAGTAAAGGGTGTAGAAATCGGCAAAAATACAGGGTAAGTGGGACCCCAGCTCTCCAGAAGCAGCTGATGTTGTCACCAAGTTAAAAAGAAAGCTTACCACTTTCCTCAACTTCTATTGGCTCTGCTTCTGAAGAAGCCATTTCTGCAGTAGAAGCCATCAGCCTATTTCGTTTCTGAGCTCGCCTTGAATTAACTGCTCCTCCACGGCGCTTTCTTTGAGTCTAAGAGAGAACAAAACCTTTGGATTTTCTTCAGGAGTAATATTAACGTGACCTTCATCTTCACAGCGCCAATGAAAGCACATGTAGACACACAAAACAGTCCCCTGAAAGGCTGTAGTTTGCACTGAATGGTGGCATGGGTCATTTCCACCTGAACACATCACCTTGAGGAAAAGACATTCCCCCCAGATCTCTCACCAGTCACAAAGAAAAAACATACCATGATGGTTTGCAAGTGAGAAGACCAGCTCACAATTACCAGATGTTAGCTTCCAGACATCCACTGGAATAAGTCTGACCTAAAGCTTTTGCTCATGCTGTAAGCATTTCTGAACTAATGAAGTTACACGAGGTTTACGCATGCTTATGTTCCAGTGTATTTACTACAAACTCCTAAAAACATTTATAAATAAGTACCATAAAAAACACGTTTTAAGAATCAGGGTTGCATTGTGTATTGAAACACTTACTGTGCTCATGGTGTTTCTTGATTAAAGACCACAGAAAAAGTACGAGGTACAAATACCAAAAAAATAATTGCAAGGAACCTACAACTATCAGTTCCTTTACGTAGGACACCGTTCAAAAGTCCAAATTTCTCAGTATTTGAGAACAACGTTCTTTCCAACCTGTAAGAAAAGAAGAGAGAAGATTACCTATCTGTAGTGCTGCTCCTCTTAAATACAACCCCTCTCCAAGATCCCCATTCCCGAGCCACCAGTTTCTGTCCAAAGTTGGAGGAGAAGTCCCAGTGTTTGGTATCTGAGCCTCAGTCACCTACAGCTGGACCTGAAGCCTCAGTCATTCTCACCCATTTCCTAAACTAACCACCAGAATAAGCAAGTTTGTTAGCAAACTAGATAAATACCAAGGAATTTCAATTAAGCTTAACCAAAAGCAACAGACTGACTCTCAAGGTAAAGTTTGTGTGCAGGCAGGAATCACTAGGAATTGTATCATAAAAACAGCTATCTTCAGCAAACAAAAATTATGGGTAAGCAGTTCTTCCATTTATCTCTAGATTCCCACAGGTGGGAGCTGAACAGCTCAAGAGGATCACAGAATCACAGAATGTTAGGGATTGGAAGGGACCTCAAAAGATCTAGTCCAATCCCCCTGCTGGAGCAGGAACACCTAGATGAGGAACTTAAAGCAAGCACAGAAAGTTTAGAAATACTCACATATTTGCAAGAGAATACGAGTTTACAGCAGCTGCTCTGTAGTAACTGTGATTGTGCGTGCCCCTACCCAACAGAAAGTGAACTGCTAAGTGGGAAGAGGTGAAAAGCAAGCAGAAAGGTGCTTACAAGTAGCTGACATGGCACTGACATTCACATCTTAAAGCTGGTGGTACACTTATCCTGTGTCCAACACACAATGAGGAGCTGGGGAGGGTGGGTGGGGAGACAGTGGAGAGATCAGGAAAAAACCAATTATGTTAAACAAGAACTACAGAACTGTCTTCCTGATCCTCACCTTGGTCTATGCTGTGAAGACAAGCATACAGACTGTTAACCTCTTCTCAGATTAAGAAACACTGAGACCATGCAGTAGGATGGAATGACAATGGTAGTCATTCCTAACTAAAATTAAAAAGTTAAATGAGATCTGACTGATTTTTTTTTCCATGTAAACTTTCTCTCCGTATTTCTTAAATCACTTTAAGAGACCCATTAACAGTGAATTGTAACATTATTAAATTAAAACATGCCTGAGATAAAGCCTTACGCTAAATCTGGTACTCTCACCAAGCCCAAAGATATATTTATGCACAGTTTTAAGTAACACGATACGCCACTCAATTTTCTCCCATGTTTTCATTTTAAAACTGGCACTGGACTGCAAAAGCTAGAATGAAAATAAACTTTTCTTTCCTCTTGTGCTACTTGCTATATGGCAGACTTAAAGATCAGTAAGCAGGCAGATTCTATCACAGTAAATGAGATATGTTACACATCTCACTCTTCCAAAACAAGCCTAATAATTTTTGATAGCTTTAAGATTTAAGCTTTTTTTTTTTTAAATCTAAATTTACATGAATAATTTTTCAAGAGCTTTTCTCACAAATGTGACCAATAGCCTTATGTTCTCACCTGGGATGTTGAAGACTAAGGCTCAGAGTTTGCTCCCTATCAGGGAAAGCCAGGAAATTACCTTCAATCTTCTGCATACCTAGTACAGGACTCACCTACGCAACCATTTCTGTCCCATTCTGTGCCCAGATAACACAAGCTTGCTTTGCACAGTATGCATACATGCACAGGTTCTTCAGAAAAAGTTAAAAATTGGGGGTGGGTAGCAAGCATGTGAGATGGCTCCAGACAAAATGTTGCACAGATACTCTTTGGTCACAAGTGGCTTAAGTGATAAAGACGACCTGTCACAGAAGGAAAAAAAAACCCCAAACAACAAACAAAAAGCCCCACCCAACCAACCAAACTTAAATTTTAAAATTATGGTGAAAAGCAAAGTAATAGAAGACACAATAGAAGACCTATCATGCTAAGACCACTTTACCCATGTTAAATAGTCACATAGTTTTTTACTACTATACCAAAGAACAGATTATCTCTAGGGTTATTATGACATGTCTCAGAGGATTCAGTATTAGACCTCAAAGGGAACACAGAACAGAAGCACTTCTCTAAGTGACAGAGAGCACCATTGCTATTTTTATGATTTACTGTTCAGTATCTTCCAACATCAGCAGTCGGCTTTCTTTATACTTAATACAGAGAGTATACGTATGGCACAAATGTTCTAGCTGCTAATGGCTCAAATCTTAACCTCTCAGAAGAGGCTTCTGAAGAAGAAAGTTGAGAAAGGATACCCACAGGGAAGGTCATCACTGTAAAACCACCTTAAAAATCATAGAATAATCGGCAGGTTCATCAGTAACAACATGACCCAGCTCAAGAGAGTCATGTCTATAAAGACAATCAGATTGCTGAAACACTCTCAGACTACAGAAGGAGTCTCATGACCCAGCAACATATTTTTTTCCCTGTAAGAACAAACCTCTCCTATGGTGCTACAGATTTCCACATGCTATTGGCTTACTTGGGAAACGTCATTGAAAGGTAGTTACCTGAACTGTTAAGGACAGGTAGCAAAAACAAAGCACAAGAACAAAACAGTTCCAAGTTCTGCACATTTGGAGCCATACTCAGTAAGAATTCCTTGAAGATGTTCAAAACCTCAGGACCACTCATTTTAATAATATGATTTGTTATACAGGTCTGGAGAGCCCAAATTAAGTGATAAGGTCTATACACTGCTCCTCCAGCAATCACTAGGAAACCCAGGCACCAAGACTCCCAAGACTGGATAATATGAATGGAGTTACTGCATCACTCTCCCCTCTCTGGACCCATAAGCATCAAACCACTCCAGCTGAAGCTGTTAGCGAGCTCATCTATTACACCTATAGTAAGATGCACTCAGACATCAATTCAAAGTTCTAGAATTAATACTTTTTTAAAAAAAGGGAAAAAAAAGCTTTTTTAATGTGAAGAGTTACCAGATCAACTTAGCAAGCCAATAAATACTTTTAACTTTCACAGACATTTTACCGCACCACTGCAGGGTGATATTGTACCAGAAAGAGCCACTCCCCCTTCCTCTCATACACAGAGCTCTGCAAATGCAGTTTTTGCTCCTGTCATTTAGCTCTCCCAAGGGCTTAAGCAGCGTTGTCCTCATAGCAACAAACTTCAAGTTCTATTTTAGCTAACTCACTAGCATTTTAACAACTATATCTTTTCTCTATACAGGTAGATATTTGAGGAAAAAATAAAGGTAAAGCTATTTAAATTAATGTTTACGCTAGGAATAAAAGAATATTGATTCCCATATTCATCATTTAAGTCTCCTGTTAAATTTTTTACCTCTACAAAAAAACCAGACATTTTCACTGAGTTCAAGGTCACCTAAATTAATGTTTGAACTACAGTTCTAAAACAGTGGATTCGCTAGACAACAAACTGAAAAAATTTCTTACATCACTCTGAAAACAAAGTCTTGGTCTCCAATGCGCTTAATTGAGACAAATTAGCTTAAGGAAGATGTAGACATATTTGCCACGTCTCAAACAAAACTTCACTTCATAATCATCCTAAACCTTACAAGTACACTAAAGTTAGTACTGAAGAAAGCAATAATGTCAGTCTAAATGTTTGGTGTGTGCAAGGCACAGGTGACCAACATTACCTACATTATATTTGTCACAACATGATACGCTATGCCTTTAAGACATAGCTTCTCAGACCTCTCTTGGCATTCCTAACAACAGGAAACAAGGTGTCGGAGTCAGAGGCATGTATTAAAACTATTTCTGTGGTCAGAAGATGCACATACCAATCTTAAAGCACTAGTCTTAATATTTTTTTACCATGGGGAACAGTCATCTGCCATTTCACTCTTTCAGAACTTTCCTGTTGTGTATTTCCAGTACCTTTAGTGACATCCTCATTTTTTCAGATGCACTACAACAACTTCAGTGAAAACAGATGCTGAGCCTATTATGTTTTATCCAAATTAGGTCAAGCAGTCCCATACTACAAAAGCTTGGTGTGAGGCACTATAAAAAGAATAAAGATGAGATAAAGTCTACCACAGAGACATACTAGTCCATCTGCTCTAAGCAGTCAACTACATCTACAGACAAGTAAGACACACATTTATAAGCAGCCTAACAAAAAACAACCCCAAAACCAACCAAAAAAATCCAAAACAAAACAGCTAAGAAAACACCCAGAGAACAAAACTCACACAAAACTTTCAGTGAGCCAGATGTCCTATTTCAGAAAAAACAACAAAAAAGGAGCTGAAGACTGGCCAGCAGGAAACCTCCTCATCACTCTTACGTGCAGAAGTTTCTCGAGAGAGAAATTACTTTCAACAGTCTCAAAATCAGGTACATAAGAAAGGCCAAAGAAGTTGAATCTTTTCATGCCCTCTAACGGAGGTGTAGGGGGACGCTACGCTAGGTGTAGGAGAGAAGTGGTTCCTCCAGTCATGCTGTCACACAAACAAAAAAAATGGGGGAACGCCATCGTCTCCTCCCCAACACTCGACTCTCTCAGCCACTTCAGGACGCCTCCGAACGCAGCAAACGCAGTGCGTGACCCAGCGAGCACAGGAGGCTGAGCAGCCCGTCTGCAAA